GAAGTGTGAGCTGGGCTGTGGCAGGGGCATGATGATAAGGGGCACAGAGCAAAGGGCCAGCCTTTACAGGGCCCTGAGCAGCAGTGTCCAGCGCTGGACATGCCGCTGGGCTCAGGCCTCTCCAGCCCCAGCGTGTCACCCCGCTGCCCCCCGCCCAACAGTGCTGACCCTGGGCAGCCTTGGCAGAAGCTCCCCCCCCATCCCAACCTGACTCCTTGGGCCCCGGGGCTTCCTCTTAGACAGCTGGCCTTCATGCAAAATTCAGATTTGCCAGAGATGGATTCTTGTTTGGCCCAGCATGTGCTGGGACCGTTTTTTCTTCTCCGAGATATGAAAAACAATAGCAACAACAAAGGACAAACCCACCCCCAGGAAATCTCATGTCTTCCCTCCTTAGTTGTTTCTGTGCCAACTTCCAGCATAAATGAGACTTAGAAAACTTCCAGGCCGCTAGCCATCCTCGTGGTCTGGTGTTCTCTCGATGCTTGGAGAGTTGTGTTCTCATCAGAGTGTCTGTTTGGGAAGGAAATGCCTCTGCTTCACCAGAGCCCTGGACCCAGCAACTTCCAGCAGAGCGGCTGCAAGGCCCCGGGCAGCTCAGGCCAGGAAGGCTCTGGGTCCGATGATCCTGACTTGTGAGTTGGGCTTCTTTAGGGCCCTCTTTCTAGAAGGACTAGAGGTAGCTCCCTCAAAATCTGTGACACAGAGAGATCTGGAAAGCTGGATTGAAAAGAGGGGGACAGCTTCCACGGAGGAAAAGCCAGGTGTGCTTGTCTAGTCCAGCATCCAAAGCTGGAGTGGGGGGCTCTCGCAGGGCTCGTCTGGGAAGGCGTGCACCTCGGGGAGCAGGTGTTGTCCCAGTTCAGTGCTAGCTGTAAGGCTCTAAGGCGCTCTCTGTGGGGACACTATGCCCAGGACACAGAACAACCCAGGAGAGGGGTCCCAGCAAACAGCCGGCCGTGCTCCTGCAGCTGGCCTCCGGCCGGGGCCTACATTGCTGTTCTGGAAAGTCAGCAGTGGGGGAGCCAGACTTGGGTCCACTTCCTCCAACTCCAGAAGCTCCGTCCCGACTGGTCTACCGCCTGTGCTAGGTTCAGGGCCTGGGGGGGTTCGGGGCATTGGGCGGTGGCCAGGGAGACGGGAATGAGAACAGCTTGCCCTCTTTAGGGCAGGACAGTCCCGAGAAAGGGGACCTGGCACTCCAAAAGCCCACGTTTGCCCTTGTCCTTGCGTGGGATTCCCCCACCCCTTCCTCCACCCTCTGGCATCCTGGAACTCTTCTCAGAAGTCTGTTGTTTCCCCACCCACCGACTTAATGCTCTGGGTCTTTGGTAAAGCCTGTGGAGCAGTTCAGCTTGTAGACGATTCTGGATTCCCTCCCTTGTGCCCCTCTAGGCTAGCATTAAAGCAGTGACACTAGAGGAGGGACGTGAGCTTGGGGCCCAAGTTGGTGCGTGCAGCAGGTTGGGGCTGAGTGTCTGTTGAGGTAACAGGTTTCCTGGGGGCAGGAAACCAGTCCATCTGGAGGCACTGTGACCTTCCTGGACCCGCCACAGTGTGGGTGGTTGGGAGGCGGGGGAAGGACTGGGCGTAGAGAAGGGAACTGGGCCTGGCAGATGAGGCGCTGTTGTAGCCCAGGATCTGCTGGGCCTCTGTCTGCAAGGAGGACCACACAGACTTTCACTGGGGCTGCGCCGCGGAAGGTGAGGACCTTGGTCTCTGTCCCCAGGGCCGGGCCAAGGCCTCCCACCCAGGAGGATGTAGGACTGCGGAAGAGGGGCCCATTGCTCCTGGCTGTGAGACCCCGGGGGATGGTTGGGGCAGGCTGGAATGTGGCTGGAGCTGAGGTCTGGTGGGTCTGATAGGAAGATCTTGACATTTAGGGCTCCTTTTGGAAGTTGCCCCAGACTCTAGGACTGGGGTGCTGAGCAGTGTTTTCAGCCACTAGCCTGAGGCCACGGCGATGGCTGCTTCTGATCTTGGTTACCTGAGCAGGCCTGTGCCCAAGTGGGTGGCCAATCCCTGGGCCAGGGCTGGGCCTCAGGAGAGCAGAGTTTGGGGTGGGGGACTGTTTGTCCCGGAGCAACCATTTCACCGTGGAACGATGTGTTCACGTGGCGCTTTGAACTTGTTAGCAGCTTTCCCCAGACATTTTTGAGGGCACGCAGGCCTCCGGGCCTCCAACAGGCCCAGGCAGCGTTCTTCTGTGGGAGCCGGGCTTCTGGGGAGTGTGAGCTGCCAGGAGAGGCTGGGCAGGACCCTGCCCCCAGGGCGCGGTGGGCACCAGGTAGCCCTGGGCCCTGGGTGTCGGCACAGGGTAGGCTCACCGGGGCTGGAGTCTGAGCAGGTCGCACACTGCCGCTTTGTGTCAGTCACATTCCTCCCTGGCAGGTGGGGCTTGCCTCCAGCTGGGGCATTCAGCGGGCTGGTCTTGTTTTTTCCAAGACTGTGGCTGAAATGGCTGAGTTTTGAGTCAACAAAGTTTTCAAGGTGACATTGGCTTTGCAGTCAAGCAGCAGGTGCCTTTGAGGACTTCTGGGGGGTGGGGTTCGGTGACACCCTGGGGTATGCTTGTGACAACATTCGCCAACCACACCTGGCAGATTGTTGCCCTCTTGCAAAGCAAAAAGGACCCCGTTATCCCAGCCAGCTGCCGCAGGGTGGCCCCAGGTGCCCTGGGCCACCCCTTATCTGCCGGGTGGGCTGAGGTCCGTAGCTTGGAGGGTCTTGTGTGAAACCTTGGTACTCATTGGTGGCAGAGCCCAGGTCTGTGATAGCCTGTCCCTCCTCAGCTCTCTCCAGGGACTACATTAGGCAAAGGCAGGAAGGTCCCAGCAGACTGGGGTCCCCAGCACCCTGCTGCTGGTGTGGCTAATGTTTAACCTGATTAGTGGGCAGACACAGACTGTCACATTTGCCATAAAGCCAGACACAGAGTCCTCCACCCCCTCCACTTGCACCTTTACCCTGCTGGCCCCTCACTCCAGGATCTGTGGGTGGGGCAGTCCGAGTAGCCAGGGAGGGTGAACACAGACTCGGGAGCGTTTCCTGTTCAGGTTTACGCCAGCCTTCCCACTGTTGCCACGTTGGGGCTCCCAGCAGGTGTCCGGCATGCTGGGGTGAATGGCCGTGGGTGATCCCCGGGGCCACTGCCTGTGACCCCCTTCGTAGCACATCCAGCTCACATCAGACATCATTACTCTGTAACAGGTGTCACTCGCCACTCACGGCATGTCCTCACACAACACAGCTCCTCTAGGGCGAAGAGGCTGACCCGACCAGGAGGGCCGGGTCGGGCTCCTTGGGTACCTGGGCTCTAGACACGTCCCCACCTCGCTCCTGCAATTCCTGTGCGCAGAGCATCCGGGGACACGGGCTGAGGTGGAGGTTGACAACCCTGTCCAGGCAAGGCCATCCGCCCACTTCCTTCTGACCTGGCTCAGGTCTAGGCAGGAGAAGAGAGTGGCTGGGAGGCGGAAGGGGCCCCCGAGACCCTCCCATCGCGGGCGTCTGGGGCCTCCACCTGCCAAGAGTCAGGTCACGTTCTAGTCTGGGAGCCGTCCCCAGCTCTCTGCAGTGGTGGGGAACAGAATGTGCACCGTGTGGACAGAGGCCTTGCTGAACCCCATGGTGCCCCAGGCCAGGGGACGGGAGGGCCCCCGGTCCGCGGGGACCATGACCTGGGCTTCCACCAGGCCTGGGCCGGCCTCACAGCTCTCATCGGTGGCCTGGCCCTTCTCTCTTCGATCCCAGGGCTCTCTCCCAGAGTCCCCAGCATGCGCGCGCGCACACACACACACACCCCCCCACACACACACACACACCACCACCCTGCCCCCGCCCTCTGGGCTTCACCTTTCTTGGTTAATCAAAAGATTCCAAGGAAAGCAAACCCATGAGACCAGTGTGCTCCGGAGCTTTCGGGAACAATGAGTGTGCCCAGGACAGGCACAGCCACCTTCCTCCAGAGAGGGCGGCTTTTCTTCTCCGTTGGCTGAGCCTGTTTCAGCCGCTCGCTGGCCGTGACAGCCGGTGGTTGTCCCTACTGCAGAGTGTGTGTGGACACCGCAGCCTGTGAGAGAACCGGGGCCCTTGGGACGCGCCCGTGATCTCGGTGCTCCTGGTCCCCACCTCACACCCCAAAGGCCTCTCCTCTGCCCTCTAGCCCATCTCTCCTTGGGTCCCCTTTGAGAGGAGACTATATGGCTGCGAGGCTGTGGGCACCCCCAGGCGTCGTAACCCTTTGTCCCGATTCGTGCTCTGTGGTAAAAGCAGGCGTTTAACCTCACCCACTTGTGCACAGGACTGGGCCTGCCCCCTCTTGAGAACAGGTGTCCCCAAGCACCACCTGCCACTCAGGGAGCCCCCGGGCTGCCTCCCTCCCCGGGCTGGCCTTGGGGAGGCCTCACAGGCAACACTTGGTAGGCAGCCTCCATTTCCCGCTGGGCCCTCAAAGAGCCCTACAGAACAGGTAGGGACCATTGTTTACCTCTTAACAGGTGAGGCAGCCGGGGCCAGGGAGGCTGAGGGGTCTGCTTGAGGCCCCCGGCGGGCGAGCCCAGCGACCCGGCCCGCAGAGCTGCGACATCGGCCAGCGAGGGCCTGCTGGAACGGCGGGCGGAAGGGAGGCGCTGCGTTTCTGCCAGCTCGCCCTGGGGAAGGGCAGTCTCTCGGGGTTCAGAGCCCGGCCTTCTCGCCGCAGCTTCCCTTCGCCTGGGTGGTATCAAGCTCGGGCCCTTTCCTTCATTTGTGGGGAACTGGATTTTGTGTGTGTCAACCCGGTGTTCACCGGCCGGGGCACATTTCCTCATGCCCACTTGCCGACGGCCCCTCCTCTTGCCCGGATGTCGGAGGAGGCCGGGCTCTGGTGGGCCTCCACCGCCCAGCGGACCCATCACCAGGTCGCCCCAGGGGCTGCGGCCGGCCGTCTGGGCCGCGCAGCCCTTGGGTTTGGGATGGGCGCGGGACCCCGGCTGACCCGTGTGTCTGTCTCCCCACAGAACTGTCAGACCTTCAGCAGCCTCAGCTGCCTGAGTGCGGGGATGGAGGACTGCGGCCCACACAGCCCCTTTGCCCTGCACGTCAGCAGCACCAGGTCCTGGACCGCCTTGCTCTCGGCCTCAGCCTCCAGCCTGGGGGGCAGGACCCCCGCCGGGACCCCAGTCCCCGAGCCTCTGCCCCCGGCCTTCGACGACCAGCTGGCCTGCAAGGAGGAGCAGTGCTGTGAGGAGTCGGGCGGCTGCGGCCTGGGCGACGGCTGTGCCAGGAGTTGGGGGCCGGCCTCGGCCTGGCGGGACCGCGGGGCAGCTGGGAACAGCCCCTGCTCCCTGGATGGCGAGTTGGACATTGAACAGATAGAGAACAACTGAGGGGCGGCGGGCACTTGAGGCGGGGAGCCCCCCGCAGGCCCGGCCACGCCGCACAGCTGCCCGCCCCCGCGCCTCACCGGCACAGCGGCCACGGCCATCCATGGGGCCGCCGGAGCCCGAGAGCAGCTTCCTGGGCTGGGCCCCTTCCCCCTGTTCCTCGCCAGCCACCCTGCCGGGTCCCGCAGGGTCCGCTGCTCTGTGCTCTGTGGGGCTGGTGGGGGCGGGCGCGTGCTCAGGGCCGTCCGGCGGGGTCGGGCCCTTCCCGGCCTCCTGCTCAGGTTCATTTCCGGGGGGTCGGCCCCACAGCTTCCTTCACTCTGTTGTATTCCGTGCCTTCTCTCCCAGGTCTCCCTGCTTCAGGCTTGGGAAGGTTCGGGAGATGCTTTCCTCTGTAGTAACATCAGAACCATTTGGCCTTAATTCGAAGTGTGGGAGACAGAGGCCCTGGGGTGCCGGGTCGGGGGGGGGCTCTCCATGTCGGAACTCTGGGGGCCTGGGGAACAGCTCGGGCTGCTTGTTGGAGGCGTCTGCGTTGGGTAGACGTGGGTGGGTCTGTTGGTGAAAAGACAGACCTCCTTGCCTCTCCCGTGGCGTGGAGAGCCTGACCCCGTGGCTCTCTGCCGCTCCGGGAGCCGCTTGGGCAGGGCTGGCACGTGGCAGCCATTCTCGGTGGCCAACCTGTCCCTGAGGGATCAGCTTGATTCAGGTGAGTGGGGAGAGGTCACCAGTAACGGGCAACCTCTTGAAAACGTCCTCGGGAGGCAGGAACTGTGAGCAGGTCCGTGCACCCAGGCCCTGTGCACATTTCAGGGGTGGAGGCGGCCTGTGGGCTGCTCTGGGGGGCCTGGACCGGGGACCTGCAAGGCCGCCTGCCGTATTCTAAGCACACTGGCGCTGGTCGGTGGGATGCTGGCCTTCATCCCAGTGCACCCCCCGCCCCTGACGAGCGCCCCTGCTGCTCAGCCGGGGGAGCAGAGCGCCTCCGCGCGGTGTCCCTATTGCGGGCACGGAGTGCAGGGAGCATGCGCGGTCCCCAGCTCCAGGCACCCCTGCGGATGCCCTGCTGCAGGGGAGCCCGGCCCCCCCACTCCCCAACCCCGACCCCCTGAGGTTTCGCTCTCAGGAAGCCCGGCTGGCAGACACACCACACGGGCTCTGCTCTCTTGGACTCTGGCTTGTAGCAAACTTGGCATCTTCCTCAGACAGTAGCAGTTTTGTCAGCCTATGAGCAAGTGGCTCCTTTCCCCACTACGGCTAAAAATAACCGGTGTATTCTCTTGACTTTGCTGACATGTAACAAAGGCACATTCATAGTCTCCTTGCTTTTGCTCATCTTCTGTGGACAGCGAAGGCCTCACGTGCACAGAGTGAGTATGAACGGTTCTCACTCTCTTTCCCCAAAAGAAAGACCCTGTTTGGGAAACTGTACTTACAGCTTCACTGTTTGCCTCGATGAAAAGCTTGGTGCTCAAGTTCTAATTTCTAGGGTGGTGGTTCTTAAAAATCAGCCATAAGATGCTTGTAGAGAAGATCTCAATTCAGTGGCCCTCCCAGATTGTGTTCAAAGCCCCAGGTCAGATAGCATCATGGTTGTGTGGACACAGGGAAGGTCCTGGGGCTGGAACCAGTTACCCTTCAGTGGCTCCCACCAAAGGCACGTCCCCTCAGGACCCCGAAGAGCCAAAGCAGGGAGCCAGTGGCTCTGGGTGGGCCTGCCATCTTGCCTTGTCCCCACGTAGTGGGTCATGGAGGCCACATCTTCTTAGAGCAAAGCCAGCAGGGGCTGGGGTCATTGAGTTACGAATTGGGAGAGCACACGCTGGTGACTCCTGTCCTCAGAAACCTTGGCACCCAGTACTGGCACCCAGCCCACACCAAGAGGGGCCACTAAGGGAGTATGGCCTCTTAAAGCTCCTTCCTGTGGAAGGAGAGGGGGGGCCCCATCTCCTGGTCCACAGCACAGTGAGGGACCGAGGTGAGCCAGACGGGCCTGGGTGGTGACCCCCCCCCGCCCCCGGCTGCCTTTCCTCAGGGTAAGCTGGGCAGGCACCTGAGGTGGTGGGTGTGTGGCACAGCACCATGGGGCGGGCGACCTGCCTGCATATCCCACCCACCGGCTGCGTCCCCGTTCTCGGGCCTTGTGGCAAGGAAGGCCGAGCCTTCCCACCTCCGCCCAAGCTGGTCCCGTCGACCCTCAAACCCAGTCCTGCGGCACTTTCGGGCAAAAGTTACCCCAGCCCCAGGCAGGGTTTGGTCCTCCAGCCTCCTCAGGCCCCTCTTTGCTGTCCTCACTCCCGCCAAAGCTCCCAGCGCAAGCCCACAGCAGCAGCGGGGGGAGAGCGGCCACTGTCCCTTCTGCTCCGAGAAAGAAATGCCCTCCGGTCGTCTCACGTTCCCCTTTGACTAGAGCGCCCACCCCGTGCAGGTGCCGCCCCGCCGTCCAGGCAGGCGTGTCCCGCTCGGCCCTGCTGACGCCGGGACTTCTGGTCTGGAGGCTCTTGGAGGGAGGCTCGCCCAGGGGCTCCCTCTGGCTGCGTGTGCCTGTCCCCGCGGGGCCGTGGGCGGGCTGGCAGGCTCGCCATGAGGAGCCCCGTTGGCGTCCAGGCCCTGCCTCTCCTAGGGGATGCCTGTGAGCTCCTGCCTCCGAAGGAGACCCAGGGAGTTCCGAGCTGGAAGGGAGGCCTGAACTAGCCGCCTGCCTGCCCGGGGACCCTGAAGGACAAACGCAGGGTTGTGGCTCCCAGAGAGCGGGGTGGGGAGGAGAGGCTCCCTGTTGCGTGTGTCCCTCCCTGCTCTAGAAGGAGTATCTGCTGCGGCCGTAGGACTGACAAGAGCCGCTGTCTGCCCACAGGGCCTGGGCCGGGCCGGGGTCCGTGGCCTTAACCGTTTACCACAAACCCTCTTGCCTTACTCGCGGTGGAGGCCGGGGCTGGCGCGGGGCCTGCGGGCAGACACGACATCCAGGCCACGGGGGTGCTTGTGCCGATCATCCGTAGATTTTCATTCTCAGAAAGCCTTACTCGTCATCAAAATGTTTGTAGCAGGAAAGTTTTGTGAATTTGTACGCGGAAAGAAAATTTAAATAAAGGAAAAAAGTCCACGTTGAAAAGAAAATCCCAATGTTCAAATTGGTGCACAGGGCGGCGCGCGAGCTCCCTGCTTCAGCTGAGGCTTCCCTGGGCGGCGGGTTCGGGCCGCTGCGGGTCTCAGGGAGCTTCCGTGGTATTTAACACAGAGCCCTGGACGCTCTGCCGTGGGCCCAGCCTGCACCTCCACATCTGCCCGTGAGGTTCAAGTCACGCGCACTCCGTGGCCAGCTGGGCCGTGGCTTTCGTGGCCCAGGCACTCCGCCCCCCCACCCCGCCCCGTACAGGTAGTGACGCCGCATCTTGCCACAGCCGCACAGCTGGTCAAACATCTCCCGTTGGCTCCAGTCAGAGAAGACATTGCCTAATCTTTAAGGAGAAAAAGCAAAACCCCCCCCAGACCACAGCAGAGATCTCGTAGTCTAGGTAGGATAGTCTGTTCTAGCATAGTCTCTTTGGCAAATAAGTTGTGTTTTCAGTGCGTGGAGGAGATGTCCCAGGGGCTGCTGGGGGCGCTGTAGCGTGCTTTCCCGAGGTGTCCGCCCGTGGGGCTGCTGAACCCCCAGTAGTGAGGCAGCCGAAGCCAGTGGCGTTGGGCCAGCCCGCCGGCGGCCGAGCCACATGTGTGCAGAAGGCACTGGGCCTGCACGCCCCTACCCCGCCCACGGCTGCCTGTCCTCCCACGCGGGCCACGACTGTCTTGCACTAGAGCCGCTCTAGTCTCTCAGGAATTTGCTTGTTACTCTTACTGTGTAAATAAAGCTTCCTGGTTCAGTATCCAGCCTCCGGGAGCCTGCTGCGTGGTTTGTCGGCTGTGGTGGATTGGTGGCTCCCCACTCTGTCACGGGAGCAGTGGCTCTAGGTTGGCAGGGGCCGAGGCTGGGCCCTTCTCTCCCCTCCGGGCCTCGGAGTCAGGGTGGTGAGATGGGGCGAACAGACATCTCAGCTCTCCAGAGGCTGATGCGGGAAGGGGAGTGAGCCACTGTGCGTGGCCACAGCTGTGGGCATGAGGGAGCCTTCTAGAGGCACCGTCCGAGCTGCCCGGTCCCCAGGGCAATGCGTGTGTGTACATGGGTGCGTGTTTGGAGGTGGAGGGGCCCAGCCTCTCTGTCCATCCGGGAGCCAGAGACCCCAGGACGGCAGAGCAGAGACACCGGCTCCGTGTGATTCCGGAGTCAGGAGCGGGAGAGGAGTCCGCCTTCGCCAGCTGGGCCCACCACAGGGCCGTCCGCCCCAGGTCGTGCTGCTGCTGCTGCTGCTGCTGCTGCTGGGGAAGGCCCGGCCCCGCAGCCTGCCCCCTCCCGCCACGGGCTAGGCGAGGACGTGGTGCGGGCAGGCCGTTTCCCACGCGGGCAGCAGGGCTCAGACCTGCACCGCTCCCACCAGTGGGGGGGCCGGCGCTCCCAGCCTGACCCAGGGTGGGCTCCGGGGCGCACAGTCCTCGTGCCTGGCCCTCTAGACCACGGACGCTCGGCTAGCCACACTCGGGAGGCTGAGGTCAGGCTTCAAAGGCTCGTTTACATTTCTGTAACCCAACGTTTGCCCATGAAATCGAACCACAGAGTTTTTGCCTAGAACACCCACCAGGTCCTGAGGATGTCCCTGTGGCTGTGAGGCACCAGAGCACTCTGGACTCTAACTGTGGCTGGTTTTCCTTCTCACAGCCGCCCCCGTTCCAGGATGGTGTAAGAACACCGAGTTCGTGACCCAGGTGAAACACGGCTGCTATGGCTGAAGCTTGGGGGGTGGGGAGCCCCTCCCCCCTCCCTAGGCATCCCTGCAGGGCCAAGGCCCAGGGACCCAGGGACTCTGCCTCCTGTTCCCCACGCGGGTGGCCCTAGACAGACCTCCAGCCCTCCTCAGCTGAGGTCCCTGGCTGGGCCCCAGCCTCCAACTGGCCTCACTTAGGGGCATCTGCTCTCCACTCAGCCTGCCCAGCCACGGCCACCGTACATCTCCCCCAGTGCCAGGGGAAGGACACGGCCCGAGCTCCTGTGCCTCCAGATCTGCCTGAAAGCCGGACTCTGCCCCGGGCACCAGCGATGGGCTCAGGTCGGGTCACGGGTCTGTGGCCCCTGGCGCCGGGCCGGCTGGCACCTGCGTCCGATGTCAGGCCGCGCGCGGACTGAGCGGCTCCAGGTGTGCACAGGCTGAAACACCTGCGGGGCTTACACAAGAGTCCGTGCCCCAGACCCCGGCACCACGGCGGACTCAGACAAGCCGCAGTGTGTTAAAGAAGGCTGGGAGGGGGGCTGGAAGGAATCGCCCCGGACAGTCACGGAGGGCAGACTCTGACTTTCGGTTTCTTTTTATACTAATATGTTCACTCTCTGAATGGGGTACCTTTGAGAGAAAGGGAGAGGCCCTCGGGATAATCACACCAACGTGGGAGGGGGCACCATGAGCCCCAGGAGGCAGGCACGTGTGTCCTACCCTGCGTCCCCTCCTCTGTACCACTTTCCACCTGAGAGGGGCAGGGTTGGCCCCCGGGAAGGCCCAGGCCTTTGGAGGGGCCTTATTCCCCCCAGTCTGGAGGAGGAGGGGAGCACCAAAGCGGCCCGGGCCCCGTGGCGGGCGGGCGGGCTTGGTACTGAGGCTCAGACTCCCCACCACGCTCCCAGCCTCCGGTCACGTTCTCCTGTCCTCCCAGGGCCGTGCTGCCTCCTTTCTTGGGGGAATTTGGGAGGGGCTGCTATGGCCCTGCCTCAGGGTTGCCTGGGAATGCCTTGGGATCTGGATCCAGCCAGCCCTGGACTTGGACAGAAGGTGAGACCTAAACACTTGCTGTGTGACTCACCCGGGCGGAATCGGGTTTGCACAGGGTCCCGGGCCGGTAGCACGCCGTTGCTTACATTGGAAGGTCTAGCGGGTAGGTGAAGCCCTTGTGCCCCCAAGGAGGTGACCCTGCAAGACTGTCCTCCCCTCTGCACCATCCACCCCTCTTCCTCCCAGACATGGCTGGGCTCGTGGCCCCCAGAGCCTGGGGATGTCCTGCTGGGCAGCGTGGCCAGACTCAGGCCCCTGTCTCACCCCAGGGCTCTGCCGGGAGGGCCCACGGAGCCAGCCTGGCCTGTTCCCTGGGCTCAGAGGGTCCGTTTCTTAGCGGCAGGTCTGGTGCCTCTCCTGACCGCAGACAGGTACTTAGGCCACTGGCGGCCCTGAACTCCAGCCCCACCCACAGCAGCGGCTTCGTGACGTGCGTCTGTGGCTTGAGATCCGCGCCCACCTGCTGGGAAGGAGGGTCTGCGGCGGGTGGACCGTGGGTGGCTGGAAGGACCCCGGGGCGAGGGACGCCCTTCTCCCTTCTGGGCCGCGGGAAAAGGGTCGTCATCCGCAGCAGGTGACAGGGCATCCTGGTGTGGCCTGCCCCCCCACAGGGCTCTGAGCGTGTCTGTTCAGGAAGGATCCCCCCCCCTTTCACAGTTATGGCAGCTGAGGCTTGTGGATGGTGACCCCCGTGCTAGGGCTGAATGGACCTCGGTCCTGAAGAACATTTCGTCTCCAGACGGAGGATACCAGAGTGCAGGCTTACCAAGAAAGTCACAGCCACCCGGCCACCCCCACGGAAGGACTGTAGGAGGAACTAGAAAGGATAGGACTTGGGGTCAGACCTTGGTCTGAGTCTCAGCTCTGCCCTCACCAGCCTGTGGGCTGGTCCTCTGTCCACACCGCCAGTTCCTTCTCTGTAAAATGGGGAGAGTGTGGATGTCCCCTTCACTGAAGCTGGGGTGGCACATTTTCCGGCCAGACACAGCAGACGTCTGCCCCCCCCCCACCCCGAGCTGTCCCTCGGACACCCTCCCCGTCCCCCTCCTGGGCAGCAGCCGGCCCGTGGACCGAGAACAGCAGCGTCCTGCCTCCAGAGGGGACACTGCCCTGGCCACAAGCCCCAGCCAGGACAGCAGGCGAGGGCACCCCGTGAAAGAAGAAAACCAAGGACCCGCAAGACAAACTGGCCGGGACGTGGCAAGCCCGTCTCCTGGACGCTGCCCTCCAAGCCCTGGTGCGCTTCGCCCACCGCGGGCCCGCCGGTCCCCCAACAAGCTGTAATTAGCGGACTCGTCCAGGAGCAGACGATTTGCATACTTCCCAGCTAGTAGGCCCCGCGCCCCTCCTCCCTCGCCACCACGGACACCAGCCCCACCGGTGGCCTCCCTTGATGAAAAGACTTGGCCACTGGTTCCTCTCAATCCTGATTTAATGGTCGCCAGCCGGCCTGGGGACAGCACAGCCCCCGCGGGCCTGAGGCTCCCGTGCCAGGGCGACTCAGAGCTCGGGGTCCAGCCTTTCATCTCCTGCCTCCACAGAGTGGAAACCCTGTTACGGACCCACGACTTCTTTCACGTGCGGTCGTTGCCCAAGACTCATCAGGGACTTCTGATTTGAGGAGAAACAGCCAGCAAGTGCTCTGTTCAGCTGACTGATTCTGAAACCTGAAACCCGGCTCTGAGTGAATTCTGGAAGCCTGTGGCTCACCACCACCCTCCGCAGGGCGGCCCGTGAGAGCTGGCCAACATGCGCCCTGCTCTGCTTGTCCCCCGTGGGGCCGCCTGCTGTCCCTTCTGGGCCTCCATCCTCCTGGAGGGGATGGGGCGGCGCGGGTGTCTGGGGCCCTGGGCCTCTGCTGCTCGGGCTGAGGCATGCGGCAGCACCAGGCCAGGGCCGTCACCCCCCCCCCACGCCCCTCGGGCCCCCCGGGTGTCAAACTGAGTCAGAGACCGAGTTGGGTCAGGACAGTTTATTTATTTAACCAGTAGCTGCCCCGGCAGACGCTGGGCAAGACACATTCACGTCTACCGAGTTAGGGCCCTGGACCACCCTCTGGGCCCACAGCCTTGACCCACGAGGTTACAGTTCTTGATTGTAGGATGGCAGTCTTCAGGGTTCCCGCAGAGCTGCCCCAGCCTTGGGCTCCAAGGTGCCTTTTGGGGTAGGAGGGGGAAGGGGTGCCAAGGGGCCACTCGGACTCCGGGTAGGGGCAAGGAGGCCAGTGGGGGATGCTGGGCCATCCCAGGGAGGCTGCTTCAGCCCCAGGCTGCATGGAAGGTGCAGGAAGCCCCTGCCTTCTCCAGGCCCCTCCGTCAAATGCACAGAACGTGTGACAGAGGGCCAGGGAGTCAAGGTCCCTCAGGCCAGTCAGCTGGGACACTCATAGGACTGGGTGCGGCTAGAGAGCGTTCCCAGAGACAAGGGTTCTCCTTGTTTGGAGACGCCCAGACGGGTCTGTCCCACTGTCTGACTTCACCGGGTGGGGGTGTGGGGGGGCAGCAGGCCATCCCCGGAGGAACAGCTCCATGGGAGGTTGGGGGAAGCAAGCCTGGCCTGCACCCTGGGGCCCGGGCCCAGGGGAGGGGTGGCGCCAGGGGGGCCGCCCTACGAGGCTCGTCACTTGTCCGCGTGCTGCAGAAGCAGGTCCACGGCCTCTGCCAGGTTGTCCACGTATCCATCAGCCTTCACGTCCGGATGCCGCTCATCACTGGGCCTGGAGAGCAGGACCGCAGGTTAGACTGTCCGTGACCCCTCCGGAGCCTCTTTCTCCCCGCGTCTAACAAGGGCCCTCAGGAGGCCTCCAGGTCCTTCCGCACCCGGTTACCGGATGTCCCCCTCCTCCCACTCCCAGTCTCAGCCACCACCCATCAGGGTGCACACACCCCCCTCCTATTCTCTCCACTCCTGTTCTCTCCACCGGGTCACCTCTCCGAACCCCTTCCATCCGAAGCCTGCTCAGAGTGGCCACTGGCCCTGCTCCATCCCCACCACCAGCAGAAATGTCCTACTTCTAACAGCAGGGCCCTGATCTTGACCCTGCTCTGAGTGCCTCCCCGTCCAAACCCCAGGGGTACACATGCCAACCAGTCCCTGTCCTCTGAGGTCACTCCCACACCACAGGGGGTGTGCTCCTGGCAAAGCAGCTCTCTGGCTGGGTGGGATTTGGGGGGCTAGAACTGTCCAAAGCCCCAGATATGTCCTGAAATCTGCCTGGAGGATAGGCACAAGAGAAGTGAGACCACGCCATTGATGCAAATGCCTGTGGGCCCAGGTGGCACCCCAGGGACACCAATGTGGGGGCTCCTGGAGGAGAGGCTGTGGATTGAGTCCTGAGGTAGAGCAGGGGTCCCAGTGGGCATGTGGGTGGGGAACTGTAAGAGGGCTGGAGCCCTGGCCACAGGAGTGACGGCCTGGGGTGGGCTCCTAGGGACATCCCAAAAGTCTCTTAACACTTGGGGGAGGGGCTGAGACCTCGTCCCTTGGGCTGCGTGCAGCCTGGCGCTGTGAGCTAAGACTCAGGTCCTGGTGACCTGAAGACCCTCCCGCACTGCTCATGAGCTGGAGTTCGTGGGGCGGGGGTACCCCCGTGCAAGCTCACACCACTGAGGACCTGCTACTCAGATCACCCCATGGTCTGGCCCCAGCTCCCTGGGAAAGCAGGAAATCATGGCTTCCCAGCAGCCAGGCCACCACCTCGGAAGCCCCCACCCTGGTTTGGAAGGAAGTGGTTGACACTGGCTCTGATAACATCCTAAAAGCCAAGTTGTCCCTTTTGAAGGGTTTGTTTTTCACAAAGCTCTTTGCCCTACAGCGGCTGTCCTTTCAGGGCAAGGGAACCACCTTTTGTTTTAAAAAGTTAGCCTGGTGGCCTGGAGGCCACCTCCCCAGGGGCGGCTGGGGCCCCAGGGGCAGCCCTGGGAGTGGAGAGGGCAGCGCACACAACCCCGACGACTGAGGCCCCAAACCAGGAGCCCTGGAGACAACACAGGTGCTGAGTGCATGGGGACCCTCACCGCCACCACTGGGTCTGCAACTTGAGCAAGAACGACTCTCACGTCCGGGTTCTATGGGATCGTTTCACTCTTGCCATCACAGACACAGCTGGCGATGGCGGGAACTTAAGATCCATCATCCCCAGCAGCGCTGTCGAAAGGTTGTATGTGGCGTGGCCTTTTAGTTCACCAAATTGTGTGCCGGCACCTACTTCGGACCCATCCATTTCACTCCCAGGTATGCACATGACAAAAATGTGTCGATTTGTTCACCAAACACGTGTACTAGAACATTCCACACAGCTTTATGGTAAGAGCACAAAGGGGGAAACTGCACAAATGTCCGTCAGCAGGGGCTGGAGAAACACGGTGGCGAGCGCACGCGGTAGAACGCGGTGATGTTCCTACTCCCAGGAAATGACCCTCTGCACTGCTGCATGGGGGTCCCACCAACCTTACGACAGGCCGCAGGAGCCAGGCTCAAGGAACCCCAGCTGGAGGACCCATTTACGCCAAGTTCAGGAGCGGGCACAACCAGTCCCTGTGGTGCAGGGGCCAGAAGACGGTTACTTCTCGGGGGAACGGGATCGGGGTGCTGGCAACGTTCTAGATCTTCACCTGGGTGGCAGTTACAGGGGTGGGGCACACAGGGGAAAACGCATCATGCTGTTTGTTTTTAGGTGCTCTCTATGCATCTACACATAGGGGCATGTGATGAAGTCACACATGATTGACAAGCACAAGGTATCTATGTCCTGTCACCTTGGCCAGTCTCTGTGGCCCCCAGGCCAAATTCTGCCTGCAGCCTGCTTTGTACAACCCTCAAGCTGCTGTAAAAAGAATATGCAACGTTTTCGGCTCACAAAGCCTCGGCCAGCTACGCCCGGCGCCTCTACCACACAGCCTTGCAGACCTCTGGTTCCGGCCCCCTGCCACCCACCGGCCTCTCCATTTTCGTCCACCCGGGACAGCGCTCATGCCTGCCGACTGCCCAGGGCTTCCGCGGACAGCCCTTCCTGCAGGACGTCCTTCCTCCCTGGAAAGCCTGCGCTCCCCACTCGGGCCCTCCTGGTGGGCAGGAGCCTCTGGTGGGCGCTGCTGGCCGTGCGGGGCTCGGGAGTGTGCGGCTGCTCCTCCCCCGTACGGGCCGCCCCGCCCCCATCACCCGGCCCCGCCCCCATCACTCGGCCCCGCCCCAGAGGGGGGGTTCTCCTCAGGGCAGCTCTGACCGCAGGGCTCAGCAAGGTGGGTGCGCACGTGGGTGGGAGGTGCCCTCTAAGAGAGACGGAGACGGAGTACCCCAACAGGCAGTAAACCTAATCCGGGCGAACTGTCTGTCCCAGTGTCTCCACCTGTGCCTTGATGCTAAGCGTAGAGCTCTACTCACCACGTGACCTGACACCTCGGTGCCTTGGTGTCCCTGACTCTCAGCAAAGGTAGTAAGAGGACGCACGCGCAGGCTCTGGCGAGGAGCAGGTGCGGGGGCCAGTACCTTTCCCTCAATCACTGAGAACGTGGATGCCGCAGGGGAGCACGCTGTGTGCGGGGCTGGGCTGGCAGGGAGAGGGAGTGGCGGCCTGGCCTTGGGCCCTGCCTTGGGCACACAGGCTGGTGGGGGGACAGACCTCAGTATATGGGGTCCAGGGAAGTCAAAGAGGGGGCCTGTGTGTGGAACCACGGGCACTGGAGTGGTAGGGTGGGCAGGCTGGGACCAGGACCCCGGGGGACGACCCGATGGCCCGGAGTCCCGGCAGTCCCCGCACCTGAGAACACAGCTCCAGGTGCCCGCAGGGAGGGGCTGGTGGGAGGCCAGGCACCTGCCCAGGCGTCACTGCTCCCCCGCTGCCGGCCCCCTGGTCTCCCCTCTCGCTCGGCCTTTGCACGGGGGCTTGAGTCTTGCGCCAACCTGGAGGTGCCCTTTGGGGCTCCCCCGGCTATCCCTGGGGCCCGGGGGCTGCTCCAAAGCCCCACTTGCCAGCGAGGTGGGGGTGCCCCTCCCTTCGCCTAGGAGGGGGCTGTTGAGCCGGGGGGACAGCCAGGCGGGCTTCGGGTCGCGCCTGTGCAGGTGTGGAGCCCCCCCACCCCAGCCCCTGCTCCGGGGCCCACCCCCCGCTCCCGCGGCATTCCCAGCTTCCACCCCAAACAGTGAAGTCAGCATGATGGTTCAAAGGAACCAAACTTCTCCGAGCAAACCCCACCCGGCTCATTGTCCGAGTCCCCGGGTGGCTGGCCCGGGGCTCCCCTCCTCAGACCCCTGCCCCGCGCCCCTGGGCCAGGCACCGTTCAGTGCCGTGAGCTCAGCCCCGGGCGGGAGCGAGAGATCTGCCCGTGAAGGAGGCCGCTCTGCACCGAGCTGCTCACCAGCCTCACTCAGCGCGGCACCTCGCGAACGGAGGACCCAGCTAATTACGTTTAATTACATATCATTTAAATTCAAGAATCCATTAAAAGAAAGGATTGCATTAGCAGCCGGCCAGTGTTTGCCAACACACAGAGGAAATCACGGATTTTTATGTCTTAATTATGGGATGCTGCCATGAGCTGTGGCTCGGGAGCCGGGGTACCAGGAGGGGATGGTCTGGGGCCCAGCCCGAAGCCCCGAAGACCCGAAACAGCCACTCTCGGTCCAACAGCAGACCAGCGGGCAGTGCCCCGGTCCATGCCGGCCGGTGACCCAAGCCCTGCAGGGCCTCAGAGACACCGCACCACGGAGACCAAGTCATGAGACCCAGCAAGGATGTGCCCGTGGCAGTGGGAACAGAGCAGAGAGCGCGATGGAGAAAGGGACTGAGAGACCCCCTGGGCCTTGAGCAGGACGTGGAGGGACAGACGGGGCAAGAGCACAGCCAGGCAGGGACGGCAGGATGGGACTGTGGGAGAGACGGACAGAGGGACCCAGACAGATGCACACACACAAAGCAAGAGAGAGGAGGGAGAAGAAACTGAGTCAGAGACAGGCAGAGAGAGAGGGAGGAAAGAGCAGAACAAAGGTGTGGGGGCGAGGGTGGACAGCCACGCGGGAGAAGGCGACAGAGAGGGATGGAGGGAAAGAGGCCAGAGAGATGGGCAGACAGGGGCAGAGAAACAGTGAGCTGCACAAAGTTGGGGCAGGGTCAGGAAGGCAGACACACACCAGAGTCTCCCAGGCCAGAGTGGGCAGCCTCGGTGCCCTGCTCTAGGCCACATGTGTCCTGGTCACCTACTTGTTCCTCTGTGACTTTGGGAGGCCCCCTTTCCCTGTACCCCATGGGGTCTCTACGGGGTCGCAGCACTGCCCCTCCCCAGGGTCCACTGGTCAGCCCAGCATGAGTGTCTCTTTACCTCACTGACCCTCAGCTTGCTCATCTGTACGGTGGGCACACGGCCGACTCTCAAGGCTGCTCTGAGGACGGAGCACGGTTATAACAGAACCACCTGCGCCCACCCCCTCATCCTGCCCTCTGCCCTCCCGGCTCACGGAGAGAGCTCTAAGGGCATTTAGAGGGAGCTGTGGGGCCAGGGAAGCTTCCAGAAAAAGGGACATGAAGTCCGGATACCACCGCCCCCATCACCCTCACCACCCTCCAGAGGCTGGCGTGAAAACACAGGTCCCTGTGGACGTCCCCCTAACTAGGCAGGAGCACGGGGCCTCCGATCCTGGCCCGAAAATGGAGGTGGAGGCAGACGTGCCGGGGGCTGCCCTGCAGAGGGCCAACGCATTCCTGTCTGCTCTCCTGGGCTC